AGGGGGGCAGGGGGGGGGGGGGGAGCAGGGAAGGGAAAAGAGTTCCTGGAGGAGGAAGCTGGTTGGTTAACCCTTTTGGTATGGGAGGGAGTCCCCTGGAAGAGAGCAAGCGAGAGGCTTGGGAGGGCGGAATTTTCCAGGTGGCAGCCCTTGTGTGTGTGACATGACCTTGGGTTCAAGAGGGGCCCAAAATGGTAGATGGACCCAGAAGGTTGGTCCCTAGCTAATGCTTGAGTTCCTGGAATAGGGGAAGAGACCTGTTTGAGGTCACACCCTGCCTATACTTCCTACCACTGTAGCAACCTCGGAGGGAAGACCCCTTAACAGTTAGCACTTAACAACAGCTGTTCCAGAGCCTTCCATGGAGACACTCCAGGGAACTCATGTGAGATTGCCAAGCTGTCAAATCCCACCAGCCATTCATCTGGTGGAGTAAAGGCCATCACTACCTTGATCCGGGATGGCTGGGTTCAGCTATGCTACACGAACTACTCAGGTAGTTCTACACTACACTAGTCCTTTTTTGACTTTTTATGCAGCTGGCAACATACCATGCTCTTCACCTTCTGGAGACAGGCACAGCTGTTTTACAAGAGCTAGCAAGCCCCTCATATACATATGGTGATATACCACTGAAAAAGGAGTGCACCTTCTCTGACCTTTGGCAAGAGACAATACCCAAGTGTTGGCATGGAGAATTAAGGAGAAAACGAATGTTTATGAAGTATTTTGACACCCGCAGTGAAAGGAACAATACAAATTGCAAAGTCGTTGTGTTTACATAAGCAATCATGAGCATCTCATACTGTACCTCAGGTGAAGGTCTTCTGAGAACTTTAGACAGGCATAGATGAACTCTTTAATCTGATTGTAAACTTTAGGCACAAACTCAGAAAAGGGGAACTTCTTTGGAAACGGTTGCTGTAAAACGTAGGGAAGAATCAATGTAAGGACCACAGCAGAACCGTAACAAGAGAAATGCACGCCTCCCATCAAACCCTAGGGCAGTAGCTGCTTTCCAACTAATTCAAATGGTCAGCCAAGTTAAGCAACGGAACAAGCCAGCATGTAGCATATGTTATATGACCGTTTCAGCCCAGCCAAGGCCCAGAGAATCCCTCCCAAATGGCACGGCACTGCGTACAGGATTTGGTCATTGAAATGGGTCTGGAGGGAAATCTGCAGCTAGACGGGAATAACCAGAGGAACATTCCCAGCGCCTTTATTCATAAAAATACTGGAAGATTCCTCAATGTTTATTTACCTCCATGACAAGATATTTTGCTCTGTCACCTCTTTCTGTTTCTACCCAAGGCAGGCACTTGCTGACACCACCAATAGCAAGGAGAAAACAGAAGTCCTGTCCTTCAAATCAGACTTTTACTAGCTTGGCTTCAACCACAACACAAACAGTGCTCCATGGTCCAGAGCACAATGGTAAAAAAATTGGGTGTCAAATGAAGGTAATGGGAGGGGGGATTTATTAAAGCCCAGACACCTATTTTGGACTGAACTCCTTCCTTCCCCAAGCCCAGATTGTGATTACATTCACCAGGCCAGGAGCGTATGTTTGCCAGAGACAGAGTGCAAGGCCAAGCATGGTTTAAAGGGACCCAGTGTCAAATTAGCACTGCTTTTAGAATATTCCCACCTCTAGCAAGCCTTGCAGGGCTGTGCTAAGACAACGCTCCGAAAAATGAAATTGACTAGATACTGACAAGCATTCGCGCTTTGCCCAAGCCCAGAAAGTGTCCGCCATTAAGAGTTCACTTCCTTGTTTAAAAATTATTTCTGTTTTAAGAATTTTGGCGGTGTTAAAAACCAAGGCTCAGAAGCAAATTTCTTAATTGTATCCCAACAGGGTCTCCTTTAGAAGCTTCCTTACCTTCTCCAACTCCGGGTCCTGGAACGGAAACTGTCCTATTATCTTCTTATAAAGTTCTTCGTTAGCTACGGGGATAGGGCTGTAATTATCCGAATCAAGTATATTTCTGTAAAATACAAGAGAACAGCTATAGTAGCCCTTCTTGCAACGAGAAATAACGTTGCCCTCAGGGACAGACCTGTCCAGAAACGGAGCGTAACAGCCAATATCAAGGGTTACTGGATTCACAGGGGTCTAGCATAATGAGTTGCAGCAGTGTGGAGTATTTCAAGGTGAGAAATAGGTGCCAAACTAGGCTTGATGTAAAACAGCTGTGCACTAGTGACAACAGAGCAACCTGCATCTGGCTTTGAAAGGTGGCTGGTCCATAACAGGGATGTGACTGGGTTAACCAATAAGCATCACCCCTTACTGGGTGACGCTTACCGGTTACAGTTAACCTCTCCAGTCCTGCGGGAGTCAGCCCGGCCGGAGCAGCCCCCGTCTGCAGGGGGCCTGACCTAGCATGCCGCAGGGAGGAGCACTCCAGACCAGCCCCCTCCTGCAACAGGCCCGGCCCAGACGGAGCAGTCCCTGCACATGGCAGGGAGATGGGGCAGGGAGGCGCTCCAGCCAACCCATATTTAATAGGTTAACCAGATAAACTTAACGTTTAACCCGTTAACCTACCCAGGTCGGTGCTCTGCCCTGAGTGCCAAGCACCCGGTAACTCTGCCAGGGAGATGCAGCGTGTATCGGAGGTGATCAAGGGAGCAGCATAAATGGATGTAGGGGAGGGTGTCACTTATGAGCACACAGACACAGGAGCCAACGGAGACAATTACCTGCCAGGCCTAAAGGCCCAACCAAACCAGAGACCAGGGTCTAATCAGGTGACCCCAAGGCAGGTACGTAGGCACCTAATGAAAGCAGCCATTCCAGTCTCCCCAGCATCACTCCCTTGCTGGAAATGCTCCCTGCTAGTTCGGACAGATTGCTCCTGTGCCCGCCTCCTGTCCCAATCTGTGTCCCGCTCCAGCCCCTCGTCTAGCCCAGGTCGGCTGGCCAGCTTTGTTTGCAGCGGTGCTGGTATTTCCTCTCCCTCGCCCCAAGGGGACAGGCTGCACCAAGGTATGGCCACTTCAGTCATAAGATCGCTACTAGTATCCCTTTACATTAAAAAGAAAACTAGCCTGTAAATAAAATCTCTCTCCATGCGAAGTCTCACCAGAGGGTATAAAAAGCTTCGTACCTGAAAACTCCCGACCATTTCTTGAGCAGAGTCTCGCTATACTGGTCTCTGACTTCCAGGAGCATGTCAAAGAGCTGGTTGACGGGGAAACCGTAGCCCTGCATTGAGAAATGCAAGCCCCGCCATTCAGTAAGAAGTCTTAGCACTGGGATTCAACCACCAACACTGTCAGCACATTTAATCCGACGTGAGGACTGCCCACGGACTAAACTCTAGGCAGCCATTTAAATCCCGACCAGTCCAGTAACGTAATGTTATTGGCTTTTCGCGGCCTGGCTCCTCAGGTGTGGACATTGCAAAAAGCCTTGTCATGTTCAACACCCTTGTGGGGAGTCTCAGCAGAAAGGCCAAGCACCTACTAAGGATGTTCAATTGTGAGTAGTCAATGAAATTTCCATTCACGAATTGAGTAGTCGATAGGCACTTCCGCATTCCTCCTTGGAAATGTACAAGAGCCCCTCCTGGCATGTAGGGAACTCGGCATGCAGCCCCGGGCCAGCGGGAAGTCCCGCTGTCTCCGGGCTGCATGCAGCGTGCCTACTGTGAAATACACAAGGGTTCCCAGCAGGGGCTCTCGTGCTTTTCAAAGCCGCACCCTCTGACCCCGGGCTCCATGCTGCACTGCTGATTTGAAATGTCGTGAGGAGCCGGGGTCAGCTGAGGACTCCTCAGCTGACCCTGGGTTCTACGGAATGCCACGGAGCCCGGGATCAGCTGGGGAGTCCCCAGCTGATCCAGGGTTCCACGGCACCACTTTGAAATGCCATCTTGGCGTTTCATAGGGACAGAGCCACACAGCTGAGCCTAGGCTCAGCTATGCAGGGCTGCCCCTTTGCAGTAACCCCTTCCCCCCCCCCCCCCCCCAGGGGCAGAAGGGGGGGGGGGGGGGGAGGGGGGGATCAACTAGTCGACTAACTATCCGATAAGCTTTAACATCCTTAGCACCTACTCTGAATCTAGGCATGGTCTCGGCAGGTCCAGGTGGACCAATCACAAAGACAAGGCAGCACAGGCCACTGCCCACAGATTAGCTGTCCTCTGCAGAGCGTGTCAGTCTGCAAGGCTGTCTCGTTTCCCCTGAATTCACGCACATCACAGAACGAAACAGCCCACACTGTGAACACACCAGCCAGTTTAAATGGCTGGCATTTGTTAGCAGCACCACGGGTGTTTAACCAGATGTACGTCAGCATCTAACAGTCACGTACCTGGAGTGTATCTGCGAACAGAACTATAAGGTTCTTCAAGTCTAATACCAGATTTGGGTCAGAGCAGTAAGACTAAAAAAGGGAGAGAAAATTGAAAAAAGTTTTAATCATGAGAAATGGGGGGGGGGGGGGCCTGTGATCCTTCATTTTGTGTAATAGTACACAGACATTTGACACAGCCTCATTATAAGTCAGCTTTTAATAGCCTTTTATTATACAAAGAGATCAGTCAGATCATGATACGCTGTCACAGAAAACAGGAATATTGATACATTATCCCATTCCAGAACATGGTGCAATCAAAAGCTCTACAAGAGACATAAGGATTTCAGTTGCTTGGTAGTTATCCCAGCAAGGTGTCTTTAAAAATACTCGGAAGCTACTGCATTTATCAGAAGATTGAGAAGAAAAGGGTGTAAAAGCCAGTGCCCTGATAGACAAATACACTGAGTATTAGCTACTGCTGAATGAAATTCCTAGTGACATTGTGTCTGATGTTAATCCGGTCTTGCAAAATAGAAAATACCCCCCAAATTCTGTATATTGAGAAAATTTCATTTTTAAGTAGCAGGTTCTGGCAACATGGAAAATGACATTGCATGCCCAGACCTCAGCAATATTAACATTCAGACCATGATGTAAACAATTATTAAAGCTCAAGGCACTGGCGAGAAAGATACACAGCCTACTGGGAACAGCTGATCAAAAACACAGATGATGTCATGTGTCCTTTTTGCACATAATCTTTGTATTCGCAGGCTACCCCACTAATATGCAACATTTCAAACAGTCTCTTATCAAATAACTGTTGAACCTCTCTAGTACAGAATTTTCAGGACCTGACCAGAAAAGCTGCTAGACCACAGGAAGTCAATATTGTCTGGCAACACTTCCACCGCTTACTGGGACATTAGAAAACAATTGGAGCAAAGTAACAGCTCAGAACTCTGGTGGCTGTAAACAAACTTTATGGGACCACAGGAAACTTGGCCATACTTATGATAAGTGGACATTCAGCTAACTAAAATCATGCCGGACCACAGATGTTGCTGGACCAGAGCGTGCCGGATTAGAGAGGTTCAACCTGTATATAATCAGTGATCTTAAACTAGAAAAAAGAAATGGAGAAATGTAAAGGCCTGAGAAAAATCAAAGAGGATTGACTACGTTAACCAATATGACAGATTGAAAGAAATATTTCCCAATTTACTGTTCAAAAAACAAAGAAGGAAAAAAAAGATAATTCTCTTCCACTATCAAAAATGATAAAAAGATGCCCCACTCAAAAGCAAGGAAGAACATTCAAGCATAATCCTGGCTGAAAGGACAGAAATGAAACCGGCTCACCAATGCGATAGCCTTCCACCAAATCAGAATTGCCTAATACAGGATGGACATGCTGGGTCATTATGCCTTTGCCAAAACATCTGTTTGGTGCAGAGATAACTTTGCGAGGATTGTAATAGAAATGCTGAATAGCTATGTAAAACTGCATGACAAAGCCTGTTCTTATCAGAAACGCCATGTATTAAACTGGGCAATACTTGCAAAACTGGTCATGCCAGTAAAGTTATTGACGTTTTTAAAAGTGGAAGGCTATGTCTAGACTGGCAAGTTTTTCCGGAAAAATCAGCAGCTTTTCCGGAAAAACTTGCCAGCTGTTTACACTGGCCACTTGAATTTCCAGAAAAGCACTGACGACCTCATGTAAAATCATCAGTGCTTTTCCGGAAAAACTATGCTGCTCCCGTTCGGGCAAAAGTCTTTTTCCGAAAGACTTTTGCCCAAAAGGGCGAAAATGACGATCGGGGCTTTTTTGCGGAAAAGCGCGTTTAGATTGGCCACAGATGCTTTTCCGCAAAAAGTGCTTTTGCGGAAAAGCATCCTGCCAATTTAGACGCGCTTTTCTGAAAATGCTTTTAACAGAAAACTTTTCCGTTAAAAGCATTTTCGGAAATTCATGCCAGTGTAGACGTAGCCCAGGTGTTTTCATTTGTTTTGCTCTCATGGTTTACACTGATCCCCGAACCGCCTGATTAAAGAGTACAGTTTTGCAATAGAAATGTTTGGGTCTATTTTTCTCTCTACATATTCCCTCCAGTAGACACAAATGGAGTCAGCCAGCAAAGTGCATCTCCAGTCAACAGAGCATGGTATGGAAAATGAGAGAGCAATAGGAAACATCTGCAGATACTCATCCATTTGGGTGTGTAGCTGAGTACCAGGTTTGTATCATGAGTTCCCATGATCTGTTTACAAGATGAATCAGTTACATTCTGTTACAAAATGGGGTGGGGTGGTTTACCAGTTTGTACACTGCTACATTAAAACCATATGTTCAAAGAGTTGTAATTGTAAAGGAGATGAACGTAAATCTGAACATGATTTGAAAGTAAATAGCATATTGTGTCTCCACGTTACACAATTTTTAGGCTTTCCTACAAACAGGTTACAGACTGTTTTTTGGAAGTGGGCTAAAACACTGTCTCAAGTTTTATTCCAACCAAGCAAGGTTCTCAGAATAGGAGTATAGAAATGTTAACATGGGGTTGAAGGCAATATGAGTGAACAGAGTTAAGCTGTATTAGCAATATAATTGTATCATCTTGATCAATGATGATGCATTATGATGCAATACCCAAAATCCATTTGCAGTTATCTGAGCCTTCTCAAAGCCAACATTAAGGATCACAATAGCCTGTGGAGATGCTCCAAAAAAGACAGGTACAATTTGCCTGCCACATGTAGCTGGATACAGTAGAATCATGTTTCTGTGATAAGTTGAAAGAGAAAAAAACTTGGAATGTAAATTTCACTTTCCACTTTTTAGATTCCACCCAGACCTCACTGGGGGTGCAGAGGCTACAGTTTTATTGTTGTTGCTCCGCCCAAAGGGATATTTCTAACTTTTAACCGATTTTTAAAAGGACATAAAAAATTTGGTGATAGTGCATGGGAACCTGGAAGTAAAATTGACCGGTTTATTTTATTACGATTATCATTTTACCAAGCTGAGAGAAATGTCAAAAATAAACAAGCCTCCTAATGGGTGAAAATAATTTTTAAAAAGTGCTTTCGTTTTCTCTCATCCAAGACATTGGTCTAGTCTCCACTACCAACTTTTGTTGACATAATGTACGTGGACACCTAAAAGTCGACAAAACAAAAATCGCCAAAGAGCGTTCATACTTCCTCCCTCTGTCGACAGATCATGTCCACATCAGGGACACCATGGACAACATGAGCATCGCACTGTGGGTATCTATCCCACAGTGCAATGTTGTAGGGCAGCAGAGCTGATTGCACAACTTGGGACTGACTCCCTCCGGGTTCTCCCACGGCCGCCTCACCTGCCAGCAGCATCCTACTGAGCTCTATGAGCCCTCCAAGCTGAGAAATGTCACAGCAGCACAGTGTCTGTCGTCCTACCCCTGCAGCAGCAATGCCACTATGATCCTAGTGCAGGGCAGAACAGGAGCATCCCAATTATTTTGCTCTTTGTTCCCCAAATGGAGCAGCTTACTTAACTGTCAAATACTTCCCGGAGCTTTGAAACAGAAGGGGCACATGCCTGCAGGGCAGCAGAGATCACAAAACACTGAGCAGCGCCATCAGGTTAGGCATCAAGGGATACTGGCAGAAGCCAGTTCCGTCGACAAAACAATGTCCACACTGGCTCTCTGTCGACAATAAGGAGGGGAGAGGGCATCTCTCACAGGCATGCAAGTCTTTTGTTCCTGAAACTGGGTGTTTCTCCTGACAAAAGTTGCATTGTAGTGTGTAGGCTCTCCCTGTTTTATTGCCAAAAGGCAGTTTTTGGCAACAAAACCTGATGGTGTAGACAAGGCCATTTTAACATAAGGGGAAAAAAATCTATATATGTGTCTTTAAAATGTATAGATAACCCAATAGTTTCACTGGCATCAACTTCAATATAATATTAAAATTTCCATGTTTAAAACATATTATTCCATACAACACACACTAATCCAATTACAGGGTACGTCTAGACTGCAAGGCTATTTCAGGATACCAGAGGAATCCAAGGAACACGTCTGCTCTTCCAAAATAATTTTCGAAATAACGGACATGCTATTTCGGCATCCCTGTAAACCTTGTTCCACGAGGAATAAAGGATGTCTCGAAATAGCACTTTATTTAAAAATTTGGTGTTTTATAGATGCGCCAAATTTCAAAATAGGCTTTCAAAATAAAAGACGCAACTTGCATAGCACAAATTGCATCTCGTTTCGATTTTAGAGTGCAATCTAGACGCACCCACAAAGAATGAGTAAGTGTCTCTACTGGTGCATTTCAAAAAATGGTCAGCCAAATAATGGAGACCTGAAAATAGGAACCAGTATTTATTTATTTCCAGTTCCCCCAAACAGAGAAGGGCTCAGTGCACAGCGATTTGGATTATCCAGAGCTATGAGAGCTGAATAAAGCCTTTTAAAAACCATTATGTAAGTATATACATAGTATATTTAAAAAAAAAAAGAAAAAAAAAGAAAGAAAGAACAGACCAGAAACAAAACAAAAATCAACCTCCCAAAGACTCAGATTGTTTAACTCTTGCTGTAGATATAATTAATCCATGGCTTTTACTTACAGAATGTGTTCTTAGTGCGGCAATAGTTTTTGACAGAGCCATTTCCCACAGTTCATCAATATAGGCTCTATTTACCAAGCCCTGGGTCGTATGCAAGATGTGATCTTCAACTACAAAAAAGCTAAGAAAGGAGAAGGCACAGCTGTCAGGAGTTAGAGTCTGTCACATCAACACAGTTTTACAAACATCCCATGCAACTGACACATGCACAATTCTCATCCACCTTGCTCTGCTCCTAAGAAAAGTAACGTGCTGCCCAATTCTGCCTGCATGTACAGAAAAACCCCAGGAGATAGATACAAAACCCCGTGAATATTTCAACTGATGTTTTGAAACAGCTTTAATTTGTTGCTACCTGTAAGCAAGCTGGTAAACATTAAATTTAAAGTAGGTGTCAAGGTTACAGATTTAAATAATATCACTAAAATCCAACACACACTGCAATACAGTTCTCAGGGGAGCAATTTTTTCCTATTGACCAATGGTTGCCTTGTGATCAGTTCCACTGCAGTGGAGGAAAGAGTATTTGTGCAGACGTCCTGTCCTGCAGGAAAGGAAAGGAACAGGAGAGAGAGCCGGATTCTTGGAGGGGAGGGAATGCAGCAATTTGCCTTCTTGCTCATTTTCCTGCATTTATAAACTCAATCCATGTATTTGTTTAGTCTCTGGCTTCCAAGTCTATGCCAACTTCCCTGCCTCAGGAATGGCAGGATTTTAATTTTAATAATTAGTGTTACATAAAGTAAACTGGACATCAGCATATGGAATAAAAAAAAAATCAAGTATTTTCAGTACACAGGATATTTCCAAACGTAGGAATTTTAACTCTGGACTCGTAAGAGGTAGAACTAGGAGTGACCTGTTACATCACCCAGTCCTAGCTCTTGGCCCATGTAGGATTGTACTCTACAGCACATTTATAAATGTCTTGTCCAGTCTGCTTTTAAAAGCTGCAAGCGTGACGGTTTCCACCCAGTCCCTTGAGAAGATAAGAGATCTCACAGTGTCTGGAGTTTTCCTGACTTTTAGCTGATGTTAGCCTTTCCTTCATCTTTTATTATTACCTAGTGTTTCACCCCAAATATTTCTTCTTCTCTGGTGTTTGTACTTTTCAATTACATGTAGAATAAGTTCCCCTTAGGCACTGCTTAGTTAATTAAAACTTTTGTATTTTTATAAGACAATTATTCTTGCTCCGTGAGAGAGGACAGGGCTTTGTTCCCAAGAAATGGATTCCCTGAACAAGTCACACAGAACAGTCCATATATTTAAACCAGATGCAAAGCTAGCATCTTCACTGTTCAAACTGCTCCAGGCACGCTGTCCAGCAGCCACTGAAGTCAACAGGACTACAGTTGCCTTTAAAACTAAGCATGTTTTAGTGCATGTTTTTGACTAAGGCTAGAGTGCACAACATCTTCCAGGATCAGACCCCAGATGGTTATATAAATACATGGCATTATTCATGTTGCTACATTAAAGGTGGTCAATATGCTCATTATAAATCCCCATTTATCTGTTTTATAACCACCATAAAGTATTTACGCAAGGGAAGTCTTACCACATTTTGAAATTCTAAGGTGAAAGGAAATCTACAGACATAAAATATCGTTGTTATTATTATTATTATTATTAATAATAAGTCATAACGCCTAGCCACAATACTACAACATTAGGTTCCCGCCTAATTTGAATTTGCCACCCCTCTAGAGGGTCATCCATCTACTCCGATCTCTAGTTACCAAATATTTTTGCCAAATCAGAACCAGGAGCAACAAGGGATGTGCAATGCATTTTTAAAGCATAATACCGAAAACCTAGACTTCTAACCTTACTCTTGATTAGACTTCTTTGCGTATGCCTGTCTATTTATACCTGCCTCTGGAATTTCCACTACATGTACCTGATGTAGTGGGTCTCTGCCCACGAAAGCTTATGCTCCAATACATCTGTTAGTCTATAAGGTGCCACAGGACTTCTCATCATTTTTGTAGACTACGAAAAATATCTACTCAGTAGAAAAAGCCCATTAAAGTCTCAAGTCAGTGTCAGAAGGTGATCAGGCTACATTTTACAAATGATTGCTGCTCGGAGGGATATAAATGCATGCTGGAATTTACAGTCAGTCAGTCTTGGTTGATGACATTTCTCCAGTGTATTCTGTCTTTTCGGGAGCAGCCGCCTTATCGTCTCTCACTCAAACACTGGCCACTTTTATTTTGGAAGATTATTCTTCTATTACAGTTTGCTGCAGTAACAAATTCGCTTTGTAAGCCAAAGGAACAGAGGCTGAATGATCACACCAGCAAACACCCTTTCCTGAGCCAGGCAATGAATGGGATATCAAAGAACTATAATCGAGATGATTACAACATATGTGTAATTCAGGCAGATTGGCCTATTCCTCTCATTATAGCAGCAAGTTGACCTACACAGGGCACAAAACATGTTTACTCTCTTGAGCTCACTGCTTGCGAAATTTGCAAGCCGCGCACAATAGCCAGTCAGTCTTTCGACTGCCTGCACTCGTGAGAGCAAGGTTTATGGGTGCCGTAAAATACGACTCTCCTCTGAAATGCTGAGGAAGCACAAACCACACTTTTCCTGTTTTGGCTCCTAAAAAGAATTGCCAGAAAGATCAACATTTCCGTATTTTTTGTGCCATTCAAACAACACAACACACGCATATTTAGAGACTGTGTATATAAAAAGAATACCTACCCTACAATTTGATTAAAATACTTCCTGTAGCCATCTAAAGTTTCGTGCTGTAACAAAGAAAAGGGAACAAAGTTTAAAACAAAGGAGGACAGTGAAACTGGAAACAAATAAAGAGACCACACACATGCAACAATATGCACAGACACAATGTTCGGCTCCTTTATTAGGCAAAGCATCTTTGATCACTAAAGCTCTTAGACCGTCATACCATATTTGAGGGGGGCTGAAGCACCAGTCTAGCCTGTTTTCTTCGCTGTTTCCTGTAGTAGTTCTCAAAGGTTTCTCTGGCACCCTGAAAAAAACAGATCAAATGAATTCAAGTTCCTGCCTTAGAGTTCACCCCAATCACCTCTACATAAAACTGCTGCTCTGACTTGTTCAAAATTGATTTACACCACTTTTTTCTGACCTCAGTGTCAACATTCCTTTAATAAGCCCGAGCCAAATAACAGTTCGTTTTGGATATTTATGTAGGTAACTGGGTTTTGGCACAAGGATTTCTGAAGAATCCTATGTTCACAGACTCTTCCAACATTATTCTGCAGCGTTTCTGCATGCATCAATATCTGCACAGCACACTTACAATGCTACAGTATAAATAATAGTTCTATCAGAGTTAAGAAAGCAAGCAAGCAAGCCTTAGCTATGGCAGGAAAAGAAAATCATTTCAAGTGATAACAAGCAAATGTAACCCATACACCTAGTGGGTGTGGTGCACTGTCCCATCCTGTAACACTTGGGCCACATACAAAGAGAATAACGAATCTGATCTATAGTCTTAGCTAACAGACACCTAGTTTTTACGCTCAAGCGGTTTTTATGCACGAAGCTCCAGAGGTCCCAGGTTCAGTTCTGCCTATCGGCGTTACACAAGCATTTTGGGAAAAGGCACAAACACTAGGGAAAGGCTACACAAATTACTTTATCTACACGCTCACGTGGTCCTCACCACCATTATAGCTGAGCACCTGCAGTAAAACCCAGCCCTACAAATCTAGGGCTAGAACCCTGGCCCTAGAGTTCAAGGCTCACAGGCCTCTCCCATTCACCCAAAGGAAGCCACCTGAGTTAAGCTACACAGGTTGAACGGCTTTCTCCTCACTACAGAACTTAAGACATTTCTATTTTTGGTCGTTTGGGGATTGCTTCGTCTTGGGAATCTTGGCTACATCCAAGAGCATGGCCTTCCAGGCAGCACAATAAACATTTCTGAGCATCCTCCGAGTCCACCTTAATGACGAAGGCCTCAAGATATCCATCGCTGCCCAGGTTGGGTGGCCAGCGAAGAATCGTTTTGTATTATCCTCAGCGTTCCTATCTTACTCTGTTACCTCCCGTTCCTCCTCACTCTTATTTTTTCACATGTGAAATTGGATTATAAAAATCTTTAAAGGCAAGGACACGGTCTCTATTTGCACCTCCAACACCAAACACTACCCTCCGCCCCCCGCAAAAAGCAATTACTCCTAAGTATTTTTAATCTATTCATTCACAACAAGAAACTTGGGTCTATTTGTTTAAATGGAAAAAGTGGAATAAAAAGCCTAACAATTGGTTCTATACTTCCCACACAAACCTCCTGCCCAAATTATTGTACAAACAAACAGGCTGAGTTAACAGCCTCTTTAGGAAAAGGTTCTCTGGAAACTTCTGCCATTACTATTTCTAGCAGTGTGCACTCACACACACACTCCTCTCCTGTGTGTGGCGATTATGGAGCTCCAGCAGGTTAGGTAAAAAGTAGTCACACCAATTTCATTGTACGCCTCCCTGCCCCGGATGTAGTCACTCATGGAACTGAGGTTTTTCAGATTTGTAACATTAGTTCTCTGTTTGTTAGAACATCTGCAATGCCTTGGTCCTTTCTGAAGGCCAAGAGACAAATTCAGACTTGGTATAAGCTAGATGAAGCCTGGTTCATGCAACAGCAAGTCCTCTGAAGTTGGAGTCGCTTTGTAACGGGGCTGAAATTGAGTTTAAAATCAACAGCAAGTTTGACAGTTTAACAAAAGCTTTAGGAGCCAGAAGCTATTTCGGAATAGTCTTCCCCCATCTCTCCCTCTCTCTCTCCTTCTGGCTGAGCCGGGATGGGACAACAGGATGGCCAGTCATGGATGCACAGGCCAGAAGGGACCATTACGATCATCGAGTCTGACCTTCTGCATGGTACAGGCCATAGAACCTCACCCGTGACTTCTGGCCACCCTGAGTTGACAGCTTCTGGTTGAACTTTTAGAAAGACACAATCAACCCCCACCTGTACCTTCCACCTCAACCTAGCTCCTGTGTGCGGATCAAAGCCATTTCTCTGCAGGCAGACACTCGGTTTGACAACTCCTGCTTGGTAGGTCATCAGCATTAGACACACCAACTTCACACTCGCAAGTGGAAAGAAAGTAAAGCAGGGAAACTCCAAAAATCAGCGTAAAGAAAAAAAATGAAGCAAGTTTTTCACAATTGATTTTTCCTTTAGAAAGGCACCAAGTGGGGATTTAATGGTACTCAGCCTCCCCTTCTTAGGGACTGCAAATGGTGTCCCACCTAAAGCACCGAAAAACTTCAGCTACTTCCCTCCCCTCCCCCTGGATTTGCACAATAAATACATAGACATTTGTCAGGCTATTGTTGATCTCCACTTCCTCTGACCTCCTGGTGACTGGGATGGTTGTAATTAGACCAAGATTTCTGAGTTACCCCTTCCCTTAACATGTGTCATGTACCTTTTCCATGGCTCAGTTTCCAGAATCGGTTAGCGCCATAATAACGATGAACTGCCTTACAAGGGGTTTGTGTGATGTAAAAAAGTTTGAGATCCTTAACGAAGGCAAATTACAATATTCTAAATGAAACAAATCTTTGAAACAATTTCAACACCTCTCTGTTGCCCCTGTGTCCTACAGCAAGTCACTAGGTATTGGTCGCTACAGGAATTCAAGCACTTTTCAAGAATAAGCCTCACAATTGGACCTTTATCGGGGGTCAAAGTACATTGCTTCTCCACTCCCCACAAATATGATGCTTGTTTTTGGAGGTTTGTGTTTTTATTTTAAATTTTCAGTTGAATATAGGGCTGCTGAAAGGGGCGGGACTCACTCTTGAGACCGACACTCCCTAGTAGCCTAAGTGACAAGCAAAGCACCAGCAATAGTAACATAAGTTAGTAAGTTTCTCCACACTGCACCCTCCAATGCGCCTTAGAGGCTGTTTAGCCCAGTGGTTCAAACCTTTTTCATACTGCAGAGCAGCAAACCCATTCACAAACTTTTAGCAGAGTGGAAAAATTCCATTTGCATAATCACTGTTTCCATGATGAATATGCATATAAAATGTTACTAGCTCACCAAAATATGTACCACAGCCAACAAAAACTGCTGGCTTCAGCTGTGGTAGCTACCGGCCACATGTCCAGGGCATACCAAGCCCCAAGGACATGGCCTACCAGTGTGTCAGCCTGGCAGCCAATGGTCCACGGACCAGCAGTTGGGAATCACTGGTGTAACCCATTCACCTCTTGGCTACTTTTGATGACACTGCCCATACGGGTATAAATTAGTACTTGATGCAGCAATAGCTGATGCAATAGCTGATACAACTGTCTGGGTGGTCAAATATTGGAATAAATTGCCAAGGGAGGTGGTGGAATCTCCCTCTCTGGAGATATTTAAGAACAGGTTAGATCAGGCATGTCCAAAGTCCAGCCCGCGGGCCAATTGCGGCCCGTGTTCCGGTTTAATACGGCCCCATAGGTAATTTGGCAATATCTATCTTTTATGGCCCCCAACGAATCCATATGTATTGAGATGAATACATTGTAAAATCTCAGTTAATGTCAGTTGGTCTAAATCAGTTAAATATATTTGGACACAACATGTATACTTGGTGTTATGTTCCTGTTCATATTTTAACTTAAAAGTTGACAGACAACCTTTATTACCAATAATATGTAATATACTTTACAATGTTCCTGACATATATTTCAGCTTCCTGGATTTTTTTTCATCTGGCCTTCAGATATGAAAGGCAGAGTGATTTAACACCTGTTTAGATTTGTCATCCATGTGACAAAATGAAAAGTATGCCGTTTGCAATAAACTTTGCATAAAATAGTTAATTTGCATTTAATTTTAATGGTTCAAAGAATGTCAGGCAAAATGGTCGGCCCTCACACATGTTCACTTCATCAAATCTGGCCCTCTTTGAAAAAAGTTTGGACACCCCTGGGTTAGATAGACATCTGTCAGGGATGGTGTAGACGGAGCTTGGTCCTGCCTTGAGGGCGGGGGGCTGGACTCGATGACCTCTCGAGGTCCCTTCCAGTTCTATGATTCTATTTTGTTGACTAGGAACTGGCTTGAAATGACCAACCCACTCCAACTGGCCAAACTTCAGTTTAAAAACAACGGTCATTACCATTGTGGTCTGGATTTGAACTTAGGGACAAGAGTAGCGGTTAAAGGCGGTGTATTCTATCCCTATGACCTGTTCCATGGGGGTTCGTGCCACCGATCTCACGGCCAATGCCATACTGTTCTCTACAGCACCTTGTCCAGTCTATTTTTAAACATTCCAGGTAATATGAAGTTTGGAAGATTATTTTCCTTTAGAAAGGCACCATGTGGGGATTTAATAGAACTCAATCTCCCCTTCTAAGGAACTGCAAATGGTGTCCCCACCTACAGCACTGATGTAACAGCCAATACCATCTTCCATCTCTCAGGAAGTCTTTCCTGATATTGCAGCTACTTTTTCCCTTTTCTTAATTTCATCTCATTCTCTTATTAATATTCCCCTGTATGTCCTTAAACAATTCCCCTCACCCCCCGTGGTGGGTATTTTCGTTTGTTCTTGTTCTGCACTCCTTAAATTGGGAAGTATGTTTCCCCTAGGATGCTGTTTAGCCAGTCTGTACATATTTTCACTCTGGATCTATCTGCAGACAGTCGAGTCAGCCCTCCACAAGTTATTTCTCTTCTGTGAACTCCCTCTAGTACAGGGTTTCCCAGCCTATTGGTCGGGACCCAAATATGGGTCGCCATTACTTTTCAAAAGGGTAACCAAGTGTCATCTCAGGTGGCTCTACCCCCTTTCCCTCCCCCCTTTTTTTAAATTACCTTGGGTCACCAAGTCTTCCTGAATTGTCAGAATGGGTCCCCATCTGGAAAAGGTTGGGAACTGCTGCTCTAGTACATCAGAACCTTTCTGGTAATAAGGTGACCTTAAATGAATGCAAGATTCCAGGGTTGTGTATTTTTTAATGGTTTACAAATGAGTCGATATGGAGCACAGAATGGC